TCTTCAGCACACAGTGACTCCAGGGTGACGGGAGGAACCTTGTGTCAGCGCGGACATTGCCCCTGGCAGGTAATGGCCATTAATACCACACCTGGGGCCTTTCTGGCTTTAGCATCACCGGTTCCAGCTGGAGTAGAGTTCATCAAGCCACTATAAAGGGTTTTTTTCAGGTCGAGAGCAATCCAGCCACATGTATTTCTCCTTTTTGATGATACATATCTTGCCTTGTTTAGCATTCTTCCCCCGTCCTAGATATTTGCACTTTTGCGACCTCAGCTTAATACTTTGTCTCTTAACTACATCGATCAGATCTTCTCCTGCTCTGTTGTTCAGGTGCTTCGTTTCTAAATGTTCTTGGTGAAAATCTGTTCTTCCTGACTCCTTTTGGATGTTTTTCACAAAAGTTTTTCTATGACCAGGTGAGGTTCTGCGTGAGAATGCTGAGCTTTTCATACTTGTTACGGTAAGGAAGAGAAAACCGCAGAGGGCTCAAATGTGAAGCCGCGTGGCAGCTGGCGAGGGGGAGAACCTCCCTAAAGTGTTTCTTTTATTTCCACTATCATGTTTTAGGTTTTTTTTCATCTTGGTTTTGGGCTTTTTGTGTGTGTGTGTGTCCATGTCCTTATTTGTTCCTATTTTTCATTTATTTTCTCTTTTCCCTCAGTGTCCTGTTACTGCTCAAGGGCTTGTGCACAGAAAGTTAACGGAGCGAGCCAAAACCCCTGGGGCTGCTGTCAGGCTGTCCCACTGCTGTCACGCAGAAAGCTTTTCCCACCCCACACACGGGGAGGCGTTTCACAGGTGCCAAACCAGCAGGCTGAACCTGCCCCTGTGCACCACTGCAGGCTGGAATGCCACTGCCCAGTAGAGCGTCTGGGTTTCTGCCCCCGGCACGCGCTGAGGAGAAGCACCAGCAGCTCTGCTTTTCGTCAGCTGCCACCTGATATGGGGTCGGAATGCTGCCAACCTCTGCACTTTCTCCTTGAAATAAAGTGTCAAGAGGTTTTAAATTTTCGTTACCTCAGGCAATTTGTCATTGAATCTTGTATTAAATTTTTTTTGAAGTGTTTTGCAAACCCCTTCTAGTCTAGTTCAGAGAGGACTTCATTGAAGAGCTGCTGAGGCAATAATGGAGCCTGTAATTCTGAGCAGGCAAGACAAACAGCTAAGACTGAGCAGTATGTTGCTACTTCTCTATTTTTTACTCTGTAGGTAATTCCGAATTTTATTACTAATAAGAAGAAAAATAACAAAGTTTCTGAATCCCCACCCTTAGTTGCACTTTCACTTGACAACAGGGAAGTGAAAAAAAACTGTTTTCTGTGCCTTGTTCCGGTAGACAAACATCACTCTCTTCTTTTCTTTTAATTAATGAAATAGACCTTGTGTTACTGTTCTCCCCCAACCCCCAAAAATGTCAAGTCCCATGAAACCTCACACCCGTACCTGGTACCTTAGCAGAACGCCAGTCGCTGCAGTTGTCATCGTATTTGCTTTTGCCAAGCTGCGTTCGTCCTCATGCTCTACCCCACTGTCACAGATGTGCAGTCATTTTATTACTAACACCCCCATCTTTGCGTGGTGCCCTGTAGTTATTGCCAGAACCGTTCTTTTTTTCACGATCCAGAGCCTGCAGGGGAGCAGAGCACGCCCGGCAGCGTGCATCCCTCCCCCCCCAGCCCTGGTGACGCGGCC